ATTAGGAATAAAAAAGCAGAATAATAAATGCAGTTAAAGTAGATTATTTTAAATAGAAAATAACTTCCTTCCCATAAATTTAAAAACTCAGATGAAATGATGATTTCCCAGAAAAATAAAAACACAAATACCAAAGTTGACTGAAGAAGAAATAGATAAGCCAAATAGAACTATGTTCTTTAAAAGCAATTGAATCACTGATGAAAATCTATCCACATACAAATCAAACTCACTTGGTTTTACAGGTGAATTTTTACAACCCTACAAAGAACAAACACATTATACAAAAAGTTCTTTATATGATTTTAGGGCTTCATAATATGTGAAAGAATTCTGTTTTTTAAAAAAAAGTATCCCATTGATGATAATTATTGTCATAGTGGAAGTTGCCACAGAAAGTAACATTTTTGGTGAAAACTTACGTGTTATTCTTTGAAAAGGTAAGAAAATATTCCTCTGTTAGAGTGATAAAATTCTAGAAGGCACCTGAAATGATCTTGAAAAGAATTCCAGAAAGCTGTTGTAGTCATCTTTCACCCTTTGGTTAGCCCAAAGGGAAAAGATGGAAACTATGAGACAGAAAGGATCAAAACTCTTAGCTTAAGGACAAACACATGCCATCAGGAAGACGTAGCTTCAGAAATGTTCACAAACAGGTGAAGATCATGAGCTTCGCCCCCTGACCAACCAGCTGCTGCTTGAGGAAAACCGAACACAACAAAGAGAAACAGATCAAGGGCAAGGGTAGGTTCTTCTAAGAGACGGAGATCTCAGGTGATACAGATAGATACCAACTGAAGAAACTACCTGGTTTCATATTTCAAATCAGGATAGACTGGAGCCCAGAGGAGAAACCCTCATGGACCAAACTGCTTTGCCTTTTCCTTACAACAATACTACAACTTATTTAATGTCAAGACAGCAGGGTAGAGGGAAGTGGAAAATTCTGCATCCTAACCCCAAGTTTAGGTATAAAGGAAATGAAAAGGGCAGGATTCATGCTGACACCTGGAAGAGGAAAACAGGTCAGCTCAAGATGACAAGATAAGTGAGGGGACATCTGGGAAACCACTGAGGACAAAGAAGGGAGTCCTGTTGCTTTAAACAGCAGGGACCCAGTGCTCTGTCCCTTAACTTTGAAGAGAGGAAGAACACATACCCAAGCTCACCCAGCTTAGGACAAATCCCACTGATCCACTTCATGGGCAAGGAAATCAGAGAAGACCCTCTTAGAACACTCCAAGAAATTTTTCTCTTTCTAATTCTTTGGCTACCTATTATTCTAAGCTGCAGAACTCCATCCCTATGTATAGAATTTACCAAGCAAGGTGTGCATTTATAGCTGTAAAAAAAAAAAAAAATCAACAGTTACCCGAAATATAAATATTCAAAATAAAGAACAATACAGGTTCACATGTGTAAGGATCTAAGTGAAAAACAAGGGAATGTTTCTTGCCAAAACTTTAAAAACTATTCAAGGTTGTACTAAATTCTATGTTCTTTTATTTATTTAACCTACTTTACATGTGCAATCACATTATCATCATTTCTTTTAAACCAAATAAATCAGAAATTGAGTTTCCCTGATAATCAAGTAAAAACAATAAGATGAATCATTCAACACTGCCAGAAATTCACTTGCTCACTTTTTTATTTTATTTTATTTTATTTTATTTTATTTTATTTTATTTGACAGAGAGAGAGAGACACAGTGAGAGAGGGAATACAACCAAGGGGAGAGGGAGAGGGAGAAGCAGGCTTCCTACTGAGCAGGGAGCCCAACCCACATGGGGGCTCCATCCCAGGACCCTGGGACCATGACCTGAGCAGAAGGCAGGCGCCTAATGACTGAGCCATCCAGGCGCCCCGCACTTGCTCACTTCTGACTGCAATATTTCTAAGATTATATTGGGCTGCGATCTAGCAAACCATGCTGAATTCACCGTCTGGCATGATTTAAACCTCCCACGGATGTGATTTGGAGCCTCCGTTTGGGGCAACCTGTTACCTTTGTTCAGTTTAATCACTAGCAATGTGTCTCCATGTTCTCTGCAGCAGGTAAGGTCAGGTACACTTGGTTCAGGGCATAAAAGTGCCCCAAAGAGAAACCATGGCATTTCTCATGAGTTAACCCATCTGTTATCTCATCACCTCAAGATCCTGGCACAGCTCAATTCATTATCCTGCCCCAAATATAAGCAAATTAAATCATATAAGTCACCCCAAAGTAAGTTTTTCCAGTGCAAAAGTTTAGAATGACTAGATAACTGCTGAATGGGCTTGAAAGGCAATCCTCAGTACAAGGACAGTCTTCCCCAAAGCCAACAGAAAGTTTAGGGCCTGGGGGAGAAGGTGGGGGGTATCTGCACATTTCCAGGTGCCTCTAAGGACAGATAGAGCTGCAGCAGGAGGATAGGGCTCGACTATATATAGGAAGAACCTAGGAAACACCATAAGGACCAGCTTTGGGGATTCTAAAACCATACCTTCCACTCCAGGAACTTTATCCTTCAACCCACCCATGGCAGTCTCTACTCGGGTCTCTCTGCTCAAACCCTTCTGGTTCGGAGACATGAACACTATTTCCATTTCCGTGTCACATGCAGATGCAGGAGAGAAAGAGAAGATGGTAGCCAGTGAAGCTGAGAATTGGGGGGGGGGGGGGCGCATTACCTAAAAGATTGGGAGAACACCAAGTGCCAAGGAATGTAAATACATCTGGGTTTAAAAAAAAAAAAAAAAATAGTGCCCACGGGCAGATCAATACACCTATGAACTCAAACGAGCCTTTTAATAAGATACCATACAATTAACAGAGTAAAGTCCAACAAGATGAATAGATCAAGATAGAAAAAGAACAAGTGTGAGAAAGAGAATAAGAGCACTTGGAAAAAGCTGATCCTAAAACAGAAACAGAGAAAGGCAGGAGGTAGCCCAGCGCAGTGGAAAAGGAAACACAGTGCCAGAGCACCCCATGAGGTTACTGCAGTTCCTCTTCCACTCCTCCTAGTGATGACACTACTCTGCACTTAGCCTATGCCCAGGATTTTCTAAGAATGTTAAACACAGGCAGTCTCATTTAATCCTCCTGACAAAACAAGCCTCTAGGAGAGACACGAAGATGAGACATCAGACAGACCTGGGTGGAATTCTGGCTCCCCACCCACCAGCAAGGGAACCTCTCCACTTCTGCTTCCCCGTATAGGAAACGGGGTAATCATACCTACCCAGGATGGTTGTGAAAATTAGAGATAATGAACTTAAGAGCCTACCAGCGGCTGTTATTAGTGTAATTAATTAGATTAAAATAATAAGAAGCAGAGATCAAAACAAAGAGTTGTAATTGAATAGAAATGGCAACCAAGAAGCAGTCATGGAAACAGGGCACAAACGCACCAGGGCAGTGAAGGAGGCTGGGAGAGAGAGAGCCCAGGAGCCTGCATTTGGGTCCCCACTTTGTGTGTCTATGGGCAGCTCACATCAACTCTCTGGAGCTTCAGCTTCCACCTCTACCAAGGGTGTGGTGGGGGGTGGGGCGGGGGATTAATAACTGTCCTTCCCATGCAGCAGGGCTGTTGTGAGGACCATGGGAGGACATAGCACCTGAGTTTATTATTACAGGCAACGAATTTATGCAAATGCACATACCTACTTGATAGATGGGGAAATCCATTTCCTCTGTTTCCATTTCTCAGGTGGAATTAAAACATGCAACTAGCACAACCATGTCAAAGCCAGGCAATGGCAGACTGCAAAGTCATTAAACATTATGTGCCTCCTTTGGTCATCATTAATAGAATCTAATTAATTTAATCTGACATCAGGCTTACGTACCCCAATTTCCACCATCGTACAAACCCAGCTCTTTGGACTGCTTTGTGCTTTCCCCCCTATTTATGCCTCTGTTTATTCCTCTCTACAACATTATTCCCTTTCCTCTCCAACTAACTATATCCTGGTCATCCTTGAAAATCCCATTTAAATGCTTCTGTTGCATGAGGAAGTGATTTCTGCCTCCCTACACTGCCATATTATCTTTTCAGAGTTTGTCACACTACTTAGCACTTTCCTGTACTAAGGTCACTGTTGTGTGTGCGGCACCTTCTCCCACCAATCAATAAGCTGAAGGATGACAGACAAGGTGTCTTCAATCCTTTGTGGAGACCTGCCTCACCACACAGCACAGGATTTTTCCCAGGACAAATACTGAAGACATATGCAATAATGCAAACATTCTCTCGACCTAATAACTTCTTTGAATCTTTACAACAGTAGTTGAGACATTTTAAAATGAAAAAAGTAGTTAAAATATAAAGTCAAAATAATGCAAAGCCCCATGATCACAGCAAAAGTTTATTGGGGGGGGGGGGGAATGGGGAATGAAGATGAGAAAATACCTTCTGAGCTTCTGCTTTCCAAATGAGAGTTAAAGAGATAGCTCCAAAAGTGGGTTAATGGTCTTTAAATATGCATCTCACTTCACTGGCCTCAGTGGCCTAAGAAAAAGCTTCCTGGAGAGTGACAGCCTTAGCCCAAAGGAGGGAGGAGACAGGGTGTTCCTGTCACAGCTGCAGGCTCTCAGTTGCCCCAGGTCCCCTCCCAGGCACTTCATTAGTCAGGTGCAGGGCAGGGTCTGTGTCTTGGCCCAGGCGCCTCTTTCTTCTCAGATCATCCAAGGCTTTGACTTTTAAAACCTCTGCACTAGCCTGCGCCTCTCTCCCAATGACAGACAGGACTAAACCTCAGCCCACTGCCCTCCTCCCTCAGTAAACAGATCTCTGCTTTGGTAGAGGGCTATACCACTTGGCGTCTGAGGCAAAAGTAAGCAGCAAGTCACTGAGTTTGGATGGGCTCATAGTCTGGGGCTATTTCAAGGCCAATGTCCACTTCAGAATCAAAGCCTGAAAATGCTCCTCCCCGGGTCCCTTTCGACTCAGACGCCCACCCGAACTTCCCCACCCGATCGCCCTCACCCCAGCTGGAGGGTCCAGCTCGCTCACCTATCTTAGCCAGAGAGGCCAACAGGATCCACAAGGTGATCTCGAAGGGGATCTGCACGTGGGGGTAATCCAGGGTGAACACTGGCAGTCGACTCTCCTCGAACGGCGTCGTTCCGGGAGCCACCACGCTCGCGGGGCTGGGCGGGCTGGAGCTGGCGCCCATGGCCCTCGACGCGTCCAGCAGGGTCTCAGCCAGGGTGCCCGCTGGCCCCGCCACCTGCAGGAGCAGCAGCAGCAGTAGCGGCGGCGGCGGCGGCCGCAGGCTCCGCCCGGTGCTAGTGAGCTCCATGGGTCGACTCCCCGAGCCGCCGGCGACGCCGCGCTCGGCCCTCCGTGCGCTCAGCGCATCGCTCCCCGGGCAGCGCCGCCCGCTCGGCCGCGCACAGTGCGGAGCAGAGATCCTCTGCCCGCCGCCTGCCGCCTGCCGCGCAGCCGGGTCTCTGCAGCCGACGGCTCGGTCCCCTTTGCGAACGGCCACACCGCCGGGCCAGGCTCGCACCCTCAGCCGCCCTCCGCCAACGGCCGCCGACCCATGCCCGGTGCGCCGCTCGCCGGCCGCAGCTGCAGGCCCTGCCCGGGGCGGCCCGGGGGCGGGGGCCGGGGGCCGGAGCGGGGGCGGGGCGGGCGCGGCGCCCGGGCCGCGGGGCGGGAGGACGCGAGCACGGGGCGGACGCGCCGCGCACCTGCCCAAGCCCGCGGGCGACGCGGGGCCGCGCTCCCCTCTCGCCGGCACCGCGCGCCCAGACCCCCCACCCCCGGAACCAGCCAGCTCTGGGCGGAATCGCGCAAGGTGGCCGGAGCTGTCCCCGCCCCGGAGGCAGCGTCGGGCGTCCCTCCAACGAAGGGGCCGGCGCGACCCACGCGTCGCGGCCTCACCCCACCGCAGGCACCTCCGAGGGGAGGCGGGTGCGCTGGCCACGCGGGGAGGCGGCGCAGGCTTGGGGTCGAGAAGGGAAGCCGGGCCCCGCGGGGGTGGGGGAGCTCCCGGCCCGGGAGCTGAGGAAGCCGGGACACACTGTGGAGCTGTGTGGAGGGTACAGAAAGTTGAGAAAAGCCTCATTTAGTTCCCCTTCTTAGGGTTATCAAGTCGCGGACTGTACGGAGCATTCTGTCTGCGCGCTGAAACTGCCTGTGCGGGACTCCGTGTTCCCACGGTCCCACGGAATCATTTCCTTTCTCCCTCCACCTTGTCCTGGGTCTCACTCCCTGTCCCACCGTCGATTCCCCCTTTTTCCCCCTGTCCCCGATCACGAAAAAGAAAAAAAAAAAAATCTCTCTCTGTTTTTCAGGCTTAGAGGTGCACATGTCCGAGAGCAACAGAAATATAATTATTTCGTGAAAAGCCAGTGATTTGCCTAGCTCAGATTGACTTGCTCCTCTAATTACAGGACGGCTTGTGGTTAGGAAAGGGAAGGAAAGTGAGCGCGAATCTCCTTCTGGATCTGAAGGAGCTTCCAGGGCCAACCGCTCCCCCCACACCCCACCCCCGCATTCGGGGCGCAGCCTTCTTAAAAGGGAGTCTTAGACTTCCCTGGTTGCAGTCTTCTAGTCCCAGCATCTTTATCAGCAGAAACTGAAACGAACGTAAAGGCAGACCGGTTGTCACTCAAATAATTGAAACAATTTTCCCTTCGATATTTAGGAAATTAAATCCTTCTCTTTTTTTCAAATTTTTTGAATGTCAAAACACGACTGCTACTGTTAAGCACTCGCATTTCAAAATTTCAAGCAGATTTCTTTTTTCAAAGTTCTGACATAGGGAATCCATGAGATGTCAGCAGAGGACACAAGAAAAAAAGAAGAAAAGAGGAAAAAAAAAAAAAAAAAAGAAAACACTCTCCACCTGAATAGATGCGTAAAAGGAAAATGGTCATCTTCAGACTTTGAAATTAATGCAGGGACGAGTTCAGAATCAAATGAGAAGATTCTAGGAGAAGACACAGAGTACCTCACTAAATATTTTATAAAGCATTAGTGTCTCAAAAGTGCAACAAAACTTAATGTACAGATGTCCTGTCTTCTTAAAAACAATCATTGAGCCAACCAAAAATCTGCCTCCCTATCTAAATTCACTGGAAATCTTCATTAAAGATATGTGTTTGGGCAAAGCATGGGTGGCTCAGTTCTTAAGGGTCTGCCTTCTGATCAGGTCCTGATCCCAGGGTCCTGGAATCCAGCCCCACATGGGTCTCCCTACTCAGAGGGAAGCCTATCTCTCCCTCTCCCACTCCCCCTGCTTGTGTTCCCTCTCTTGCTGTGTCAAATAAATAAAAACTTTAAAAAAAATTTTTTTAAAAGATATGTGTTTTGTATTCCCCGAAAGGAGCAGCAAATAATTAACTTTGTAAAATTGTGTAGCTGTGCATGGGAAGCTCCATGCAAGGCACTATATCTGTATTTTTTGTCAATGATCACAAAGCCCCAAAGAGATAAACATTCTTATACCCATTTTGTAATTGAAGAATTGTAGATGCAGAGATGTTTAAAAACAAACAAACCAGCCAACAGATGTATCCAAATTTACAAATCAAATCAGAGTCTAGAAGGAATTTAAATCAGCCTATCCATGCCAACACTGGTTTCAGCACACCCTCTGGTTGGGGACCAGTTTCCGATAAATGGCAGGCTATTTTCTCAAGCTCTTTTAAATATAATGGTGGAAGATTATTCAGGGATTGTCCCCCAAAAAGCCATAGCAAAATAAAGTTTTATTTGCAGTAAGCAAGTCAGGCCAGTTCTACAAGTTTGGTGGAATAATAGTAGGGCAAGCGCACATTTGGGCAATAATTTCTAGGAGTTCGAGTACACATAATGCTTTCAAGAATGATTGTGCATCAGGGGTGCCTGGGTGGCACAGTCGGGTGGGTATCTGACTCTTGGTTTCAGCTTGGGTGGTGATCTCAGGGTCACGAAGTTGAGCCCTGTATCAAGCTCATCGCAGAGCCAACTTTAGATTCTATTTGTCCCTCCCCATAAGTCCGCTTGTGTTCATGCTCTCTCTCTCTCTCTTTCTTCCCCTCTCTGAAATAAATCTTTAAAAACAATTTTAAAAAAGGAAGATTGTGCATCATAAACAAGAAGATGAATGACAAATCTACATGTCTGGGATCTTACTGCCCAGAGTAACTGTAGAAATTATAGACTCTAGTATCACTCTACTTTTATAAGTCTATGTTAATGTAGTTAAAGATTAGCAACTTTTTCTTACATTTAGAAAAGTGTTCTTTTATATAAATGGAAGATGAAAGACATAGTTTTTAAAAGTCTTTTCATCTTTCCCCTTAACCAAATAAGAATTAAGCTACACCCCCATGCTGAGGAGGACCTGGTTGAGCCATTTTTCAAAGGGCCCTATATCTAGGAGCTCATCCCCTGAAAGTGATAACACCACCTATTACTGTTCCCCTTAAATGAGTGAAGGCAAGATCATGCCTCTATCAGGTTAAAGTCCTTCAGTGACTTTTCAGTGCCATTTGGAAAGATTAAAATCCTACAGTGACTTACCTGATTTGACCTCTGCCTTTCACTCTCACTACTTTACTCCCCCACCCCCACTACCAATGCTTTATGAACTCTGACCAAATCTCCAGGCTCCCTTTCACCTCAGGACCTTTGCACATTCTGTTCTTTCTCCTCTCTGCCTTTCAACTTGTTAATTCCTCCTAGGGTCTCTCTGCTCAAAGGTAACTGACTCGAGGGTCTTACCTGGCACCTGCCTTCCTATTTTATGTCCTCTGATATCAGTCCATGCTTTTCTGTCTTAGCATTTAATCATCCCACTTTACCTCCACTAGACCGAAAGCTCGGTGAAGGTAAAGATGATCAATTTGATTCACTTGTTTACCCTTAGTTCCTAGCACAGCGCCTAGAATAGAATAAATGCCACTTAGTAAGTATTGTATGGATGACAGCTCTTCTGCCTTAGGGATATGGGCCACAGGCCTTTCCGGTGGGTGAATCAGTGGCAGGACAGACATGAAGAGTTCCACCTGAAATACTTCCCTCCAATGATCCCTGGTTCATATTTTAGGATCTCACATCTCCTTTTTTTCTTTCCACCCAAATACTTTGAAAATCCAATCACATGACAGGATTTCTAAGTATACACATTATAATTACCTGATTTGAGACTGACCTTCACATCATAGCACAGACTATGCTTACAAGGATCTTATGAACCCTATCCAAAAAACTGGTGAATCGTTTTCTCTACTGGCTGATCTGAAGCGGTCTCTTGGAATATCGGAGTATCAGTGTATGTAATGGAATCCTGTTACGGGAATAACCCCTTCATCATGCAGTCATCAAGCTGGACAATACCTCTGGCATCGTTAACACTCACGAAGGACTTGGGAATTAAGCTTAAGAGAAAGTGCACGGAAAAAAAAAAGGAGGGGGAAGTGCACCTTAAAAAATAAAAACGGGAGCTCTGCTGGGAAGGTCAAGATCATGGCCAAGTGCAAGGCTGTTCTTCAATCTCTGCCTCCTGCCCTGGAAAGCTCTGGAGGATCTGGGATTTAACTTTGTGGATTGCCACACAGAACTGGGAGCTTCACGAGGTTGTTAAGTGCGTGTGAAGGAGCAAGCTGGAATCCCCATGTCCTAGCAGACAACTCCAGCAGGCTGTGGATCACTCCTATTTGTCAGACAGAGGTCCCGTGGAAGCTGACCAAGAGGAGGCAGTTGTCCATAGGTTGCAGTGGCTCCCCTCCACCACAGCGTGGCGCCCGTCCTCTCCCCACACGCAGCAGCTGGGGGGATCCTCGTCGCGGCGTGTGCTTGCTCCAGAGAGGGAGCCTCGAAGGGCTCCACTGTTAGGTACTACAGAATCCCTCGTAATAGAAAAGAGTTAGAACTGACGTTTCGCACTATGTCTTTTTTACGGATTTTTATAATAGATTCATATTTTAACTTCTCCTTTGCAATCTGCATTGTACAACTCCTGACCCTTACTTTTGTAGTGACATTTCAGGTCAAAATCGTTGCCTCTGAAAAGTCAGCACTCATAGTACCCTTGACTTGAAAGTTACCGTATTTGGAAGTGTTCAAGTCTAAAGTAGCTTCGTTTTTGTTTTGTTTTTAAAGACAGTCCTCAGCCAAAGTCTGGAGCCCTCTTCTCAAAGATCTGTGCTAACTGGGCTCATGTAGTGGTGTGAGTGTTTGATTATGTGCATGAGATGAAATTCTCTCTCTTTTTAGCCAGAGACACTTGTTTCGTCTCAGTGGAGAAATACTTTGCTGTCTGAAAAGCTACTTTCTGCAAAGTGAAGGTTATTAAGAGTGGTACTTTGAATGTTGGAATCTCCTGGTATATTTAAAAATAAGATTCTGTCTCTAGATAGTCAACCACGAAGCTTTTCAGAGCCCCGGCTTTCCTGTGTGAAAGAAAACACTTGGGATAATGAACTTTATGTTTCTTTCTTAAAGGCTTAAATAAAATCTAGAATGTGAATGCCA